AACTAGTAGACTCCTACCCAATAGAAAGGCTAATCTCAAAGGTTATGGCTTATTACCTGTATTGCAGTTTTGTATTGAATTGAACATTCCCTTACTAAATTGTCTGAAAATATCCAGCCCTTTAGATGCTTTTTGAATGAACCTTCTTATTTTTCCTGAATACCTCATTGATTAATGAATCGAATGAAACTTTGGTCATATATTCATTTTACGTTTGTTTAAGAGCCATGTTTTCAATTTTTTGTAAGTTGACATTTGTTCTTTAAGACCATTGAATTTCTAGCTGAAACTAATGACCCAGGGTAAACATAGCCCAAATCACCACTCTTGCTTTCTATGGTTTCGTGATGGTTGCCTCATTCATACTGGCAAGGAGTGTAAAGTCCTGAAGAAAATAATCACACACAATAAACAAAACAAAATAACCACAGTCTTGGAAGTAACTTAAAGGTCATTTAATGCATTGCCTCAATCACTAGTTTATATCAAATGTCCAAATTTCTCCAAACCTACCACCAAGGTCATATTTTTCTCTTTGATCTTATGCCATAAGTCATTACTTTTAGAAAAGAGTCCTCACATTTTCAAATATGAGACACAAAAATAGAAGGTTCTTCTATCCTTGACATGCTTCCAGCTGTTCTAAGAGCAGGAATTGCACCTCTGGTGACTCAGAATCAGGAGTGTTGTCTAAAAGACTCTAATCAAGGAGCAATTTCTAGGATTTACTTTTTCTTATTAGGATCAGTACTCTGCATATGTTCCTAGCTTTTTTTTTTTTTTTTGAGAAACAAATGACTAGATAAAGGAAGTATGTATGCATGTGAGTTTAGATGACTAGACCCTGGCATCTTAATTATTTTAGTAACTGGAAACATGAACTAGGTAGTGGCTTAAGAAGATAGCAAAAGAGAAAGGATTTGCTCAGAGAAATGTTAGAAAAAGATTGTCCTTAGGCAAGAATAAATATTTCTAAATTTTGCCCAAGTTTATGGTTTAATAGTTTTAATTAATGTCTAAACTTTGCATTTGCATGCCTGAAATGAAAATTCAGAAAACGGAGGGTATTTCATATAAACATGGACTCTGTTACTGCTGCCAACCTATGCCTTGGCTAGATCCTGGTTTATTTCCTCTGCTCCTGCAAGGCCAAGTCAAACTTCTTGTGCCAGCACCCAGGAGGATGGTGTGAGGAAGAGACAGAGTGTTTTGGAAGGACCTAGGTCAACCCCAGTGAAAGGTCACCAGTGAGCAAAGTTCTGTAGAAACCACAGCCTCCTACAGGTGT